TTACATACATAATTACATAAATGGGAACAATGTTGAATAAGCAATACATTTCTAAATTGTTGTGTGTAGTTCAGTATCCTTTAGGAATTTTAGTATACCTATTAGGGCTTATGAGTACAGGAGCATATATTTTCAGATAGGTGGTTTGATCATACTTCTAACGTTGTATAGTTCGTACTTCCTGCATTCGGTTAAAACGTGTTTAATCTTCAGAAGATAATAATTGCAGGGCGGCCATCTTGGAGGATCTTCTTTCTCCATCAAGTAATTATGGGCTTTTCTGGTATGGCCTATTTGGTATTATTTTATATTAATTTGTAAATTAAAGAAGTTTCATAGTATATAAGTAAACAAGCCAAAATAATCAAAGTTTTTTTAATTTACAGGTTAGCTGGAAAGCACTAAACATTACTTGGTGCTGTAATCATAGACCTTATTAGTTATTATACTACTGGACAAGCAATGAGTGTAAGGAAAGCTTAACAACATTTAGGAAGGATTTTGATTACTCTGTACCTACTCGATTACTCGTAAGGATGGTGGCTCGGGGTAGCAGGGTAGGATATATAGGAAGGTACATAGATTAATGTACTTTTTCGTAAAGACTGCCTACATCACATAAACATTGGTTTTTATTCGATATTTTAATTGTCAAGAGAGATATGAGCATTTTTAATTTGTGGTACCTTACATACCTACCCATGTCTTGATTGAAGGTTTTTCTGTTATTATTTTAATTTTAAAACAGGTAATTCAAGGAGCTAAGAACGATGCAACGATTCAAAAAAAGTTATATCGTTCCGTATTTGCGATTTTCGATTTAAATATATGTAGGTATAATATATATAATTACAAATAACTTCCTTCATTGGATTAAGTACTTATCAAGTATTTTTTTGAAAATAATAAAACGGACAGAAGGAGTAACGACGCAGTATATTGTTTTTTGACGAACATCTAATGTTAAATGTTGATGTAGCTATTTTAATATTACTAACCATAGTAACTTCAGAATAATAATCAAATAGGTAGACATTACGTATAAGATTCACTGACTAAAACCAGTCTCCAAGTAAGTAATTCATTCTGTAGCTTTAACAAAATGTATCAAATTGAAAATTTACAAGTTATTTTGTAATTAAAAATTTATAAAATCATCAGTTTTTATAGCTAAGGATTGACTATTTAAAAGAAGGTTCTAGTAATTAGTTCATTCTGTAAAAAAAAAAATGTATAAGCACTGTTTTTATAATTATTTTAAGTTAAAATTTGAATGAAATTACATACTAAAACCAATAACGACTTTAGATATTATGTTGTAATTTAAAAATATTATTCGTGTATACTTTGATCTTTTAGAATTTTATATACACATTGTCAATGACATTGTAAAATACAATTTTTTCGACAAAAATGAATATAAAAACTAATATTATAGGCTGTCAGATCATCTTCGCTCAGAATCGTGTTTTGTATTCAATGATTTTATATCATTGAATTCAAATTTAGCCCATCCATTACACTTTTACAGTGATTCAAATAAACACCTAATACCTATGTACAGTAGATAGCGTTACACACTCACCCTCTTTTTAAAATATAGTTCCTATAAATAATAGATTTAAAATGCGAAATGTAAAATATATTTTTAAACTACTTGGTAGTTGTAGGTACATAAATTAATTGATTGCTTTGGGCTTTTAGAACGTATTAACTTCAAAATAAATTCAATTAATTCTAGAAGTAATAATATCCATTGACCATTTTACTTATCTTATACAAATACTTACTTATCTTACTATCCGTCTATCCTTCTAACGTATTAATGTGGAGTGGATCGCTGTGAAGTGTGAATAACTTGGGCTCGTTTAGTACCCAATTATTAAATTATATTAATTAGTAATTTCATTGTTATACTTTATGTTTCGGGTATGTATGTTTTTAATTCTGTTTGTATATTATCATTATGTGCTACATATTACAAATAGAATCATAAACATACATACCTGAAACATAAAGTATAACAATGAAATTACTACCTGAATACCTAATTAATATAATTTAATAATTAGGTACTGAACGAGCCCAAGTTATTACATATTATATACTGTCATTATCATAATATTATATTTATAAATATATTATTCTGCAAATAAAATTGTGTTATTATTAACTGTAAAATTATTTTTTTTAAACAATACATTTTTTAATCAACTTAACGAATAACATAACAGGGACATTTTTAAAAGGTGATGTATTATTTTAAATCTTAAATCTATAAATAGATAAGTTATAGACATCTATTAGTTCTATTGGCATTATTTTTTAAAATACACTTATTGACATATGTTAAAAATTGACAAAAGAAACATTTGGCTTACATTATATATTAATTATGTATTTATGTATGACATTAGTTAATAGGTACTATAAAAATAGTGTTAGTGGGTTTACTACCTACTACCAGTGAAGTACCCAGATATTCAATGTGGAGAGGGGGGCTAAGAAAAGTAAATCAGAATTTTATATCCTTTACCTTGCTACTAGGTCATTATTTTATGTTATTTCTATATCCCGTAACCGTAATAACCTACACAAATAATTGATAGTACTCAAAGTCCCAAAATGTTTCTTCAAAACCATTTTCAGAAGTATAATGGTTTGTACTTGACGTTTTATTATATAAGATTTAAACCAAAACAGGGCCAATGTGTAGTGGGGGAGGAGGGATGAAGTCTTAGATATACAACGGAAATGTTTTATGAATATTGAATTTCTAAATTTTGCCGTATAGTGCATATACGTCATTATTTTTCGGTTATATACCCCAATGAAGAAGAAGAAATATCATTATTTATTAATTTATTATATTGACGAGTGACGACTATCTACAATATTGCCTAATGCCTTTTATACGTAGGTAAGCAATATATTGACAATATACGACACTTCTTCGATTATCTAACTTTTGCCTCCATTAATTGTTTTATGATCATTATGAACATTTTTGACCGCATTGTGTAATTTACAAAAATTTCAATAATTAACAATAGTAACAGTTTTAATTTATTCTATGTTTATACCAAGAAGGTTAGGGTAGAGAGCCAAGATCATCTAGGATCTCTAGGTTGAGGTATAAGTTTTAGGCGGTTAAAAATTATGTTTTTATCAGTTTTATTTTGTAACTGTGATAATAGTTTACCATTGTATATTGATTTTTGTTTTAAAATGTTATAATATTTTATTTGCAAGGGCCCGCGAGAATTTGTTAACAGTTTTTGTTTAAAAAATGCCCTGGGAGATTTATCCCTACATCTCTTTCCCATAATTACGTCATTACCACAGGTTGTGACAACTTCAATTCAAAACAGTGAGTGTTCTGAGAGCTAACTACAAAAAAAAACATAATTGTAAACATAATTATAAACATAATTATTAGATACCTCAATAAAACAAAATAAACTTTGGACATTTGTGTGTAGGTACATCTTAAATCATGAATTACTAACAAATGTAGTTATTGATACTCATAAGAGGGGAGTTAATGTTAGGATAATTTTAAATTAATTTAATATAGACACTACATGGAAAATGGGAAATTTGGGTATCTGAAACAGTTAATTAGGGTAAACCGGTGCATCCGAATTGCATGCCAAAAAATTAAATATAAATCGGGTCGTCCAAATTGCATGCCGTCTCTTGGAGGGGTCTGTCCGAATTGATTGCCATCTCTTAGAGGGGTATATCAGAATAAATAACTAACTTTTCAACTGGAGGATCGGGATTTTGTTACATTACAATAAAACATATAAATATTGTAGAAGGTGACACTGTGTATAAGAATCATAAAATAAAACTATTTTTTTTTCATCGACAACAAAGGCCATTAGTTAAATAAAACTATTGTAGTTTAGGGTAATCAAGTGAGTGAATTTTAAATAATATTATTTTTAAATTTGGTGGTTTTTTTTGACATTTCGGGCACACAATATTACAATTTAAATAAACAAAATAATATATAATAATAATTCATAATAATGAAATATGTCAATATAGAAACATCTTTTTTGAATAATAAAATAGTATAATAGCATTTTTTAAAAAAAATTTGGAAAGTCCAAAAAAAAAGTTTAAGTTATTTAAGTGCATAGTAAATAAACATGTGGTGTACGGCATGCAATTCGGACAGACCCCTCCAAGAGATGGCACACACTTCGGACAAACCCCTACAAGAGACGGCATGCAATTCGGACATTTTTTTTTTGGCATGCAATTTGGATGCAGCCGGGTATACATAATGAAAATTGAATGCACCACTAGTTTGTTATATTATCGATAACAGAAAATTAAAAAGTAATCTTGGGATCTCTGAATTGGGCTAAAATGTCAGTTCGAGCAAATTGGGAGTATTAGTTTTGCAAACAATTGTGAATTGATTAATAATTTCAGACTGGAATTCCAAAGGTTATGGAAATATTTAATTTATTTAAGAACCAGTTCTCATAAATTATCATGTATAAAATGTACAACTTAACATGTTATATTGTAACTTTTAAGTCACTTTGACGATTTTGAATTTTTTTAGTTTTCTACATGAAATATAATCCTTATACCCACACCTTATCCTTAAAATTGTTCATTGGCAACCAACATCGAATGTATTGTTCTTATTTAATTATATATTTTTTACTAGTTTTTACTATTTATTCCACTGCTTAAAATCAGCAACATCTTTTGAAAAAATCTAAAGGTATGTCATATGTACTTGCTCACTGTTAAAGCTAAGTTTCACTTATCACATTTAACTGAAGATAAATTATAATTTTTTTAACTTACCACAATAATTAAATACATACACATTTGTGTTGGAAGAATATCTATGAATCAATTACAAACCTGGTAATTAAAATTATTGGATGTTGTTAAAATACCAATCAATTTGGGCTACTTGTTAAAAATAAAAATAAACACCATCTAATTTCTTTTAATCACTTAAAAATGAGTTTATTATTTCAATATGGGTACAATATATTTTAAACCAATCCAGTTTAAAATTTATAGATTGACAGATCATGATTGTTTTCATATGTATTCAATAATGGATATTTACATAAAAAAATATTGATAAAATTAAGTTTAATTCAAAATGAATTGGTAACAAAAAAAATCAATTGAATAATTTGAAAAAAAAATTATGTTAAATTTAGAAAAAAATTATTCAGATTCACTTCCAGAAAAATCATTGTTGCTTTGATTTGAGTTGATTGATGAAATGTCATTATCGACATCATCTTCAGTTGATGTACCGTCTAAATCGTTAAGTACTTCCTATAATTGTATTAAGGTAAATTAATTTTTGTTTATCTATTTAAAGGAAGTATATTTTTATATAAATACTGGATTATCATAAAACTAACTAAAAATAGAAAAAAAAATAGATAATTCTTCAATAACAATCAGATAAAACACTATTTTGATTGAGTTTGCAGTTTTACACAATAATTGTGTATTTGTGTGAATAAACTATTTCATGCATACCTTTAACGTGTTAACAAGATCAGTTGTTTGTTCAAGTAATTTTTTACAAGATGCATTTTCTTCTTCCAATGCCATGACTACGGTATGTAAATTACGATTTTGTTCAAGTACTTCTTCCAAAGCCTTTCTACGACGTTCTGCAATAACCTTCCAATATTGTTCACTAGGACCAGCTAAAATGGCAAGCTCATAATGATTAAATTTGTACTCAGCAAGATATAGTTAATAAAAAACTGTTAAATACAAATTACAATTACTAAATGCATACCAGTGCTAGTAAGATCTTCAATAATTAACTTCTTGTAGAGAGATGGATTCACTTTTGCAACTCCAGACTTTCTTTCCTCGGATTTAACTTCTACTTCAGTCTTAAATTGTGTCTTCAATATATTAGGATCAGAACTAATGTAATAGATTTATACATATAAGAGACAGTAATAATAATATAAAGTAAATCTAAAAATAAATTCATACTTGTGTTCATGAAATCTGCCAGACCCAACCAAATTTTCTTTATCGCCGCCAGACGGCTGCAGTGTTTGCAAGAACTTTCTGGCACCTTTTTTGTTGGACATCTGAAACAAATTTCACAAGTTCGGTTTAAATTAACTGTTAGGTATTCGTGTAAGATAGTTGGTTGATTTGTTTTTATGATTTATTTGAATATAAGATAACATTTACTTTGTCCGAAATCTTAATATTATTTTCGGAAAGAGTTTTCATCGTTATAGTGTTAAACTGTTAAACCGTATGTAGTGTCGTAGTGACTATTTTCAATTTTGAATTTTCAAATCCGATGTGAAACCAGTAACCACAGAATAGGTGATAAAAACAAGGCAGACATTTTTTTGGGGAGATAAATGAATTCTCCAAAGTGGCCTTATGTCAGGATATTCTTATTTTTCATTATTTATGGCAGCACTGAATAAGTGATAAAAATGTAATATGATAATTTAATATTTCCCGTATAAATTAAAATAATAATATGAATATATATTTTTTTTAATTCTACAAAATTGACAACTTGGTATGTTAATACTGAGAATCAAGTAAAAAGAAGTTCATACGAATTATTACCGCCTCCAAGTTCCATCAGGAGTAGCGATGGCCAATGGCTCACTCTGCCACCCCCCTAAACATGGGACTGATTACAGATATTAAATTTAAATATGTAAAGGGCGGTGAACAAATTGATGAGCGTATTCAGTGAAGCAAACAGGGAGCAGTCCTCTATACCAGCGATTCTAAACCTGGGGGTCGCCAACAATTATTTTAGGGTCGTCAATCCACGTGGGAAAAAAATTGTTTCACTTAGAATCTTATAATTAATATTAAGAGTTATAATATATATATTTTTTTTTGGATAGTTCGATAGTCGATAAAAACGTTCATTGAAGTGTACATAGGTAAAATATCTTTTTTTGTAAAATGTATACACAAATAAATACAATTTAATAACAGTTGGTTCAATTTTTTAATGCTTACATTTTAAAAGTGTCGTTGGACATCTTGGTGACATTATAGGGGGTCGCGAACTCAAAAGGTTGAGAACCGCTGCTCTATACTCTATAGTACAGACAGTACAGTAGGTAATAAAACAAAATATAAATAATTCTTATATTTTTAAATTTTTGTGGATAGATAAAATGAATACAATATTCAATTTTGAGGGAGTTTTGACTTCTGATAAAAAATTCGACTTAGGTGGTACTTTGAGTAAGATTTATAAAATTAAGTTGAGAATAATATAATGAAGTTTTTAAAAGTGCATCAGTAGTTTTTTTAATATTGATTAGATAAGTTAATTAAGAGTAAAAAAAAATGCATTTATCAAATGTATTTCAATGAGTATTAGTTTTAGAAACTTAAAATACTTTCCTTTAATGTTACCTACTAAAGTTATAATTTTTTATAATCGAAATTTTCAATATATTTGTCTGACTAACATTAAGCTATTTATAGGCAATTGAATTTGTTTTATTTATGAGCTGTTTCAAATGTTAAGGCTGTCAAAATGCGTGAAAAAGTAATACTCGGTTCCACATGAGCTGTTCTAATAAGAATTTAAAAATTTTAACTACCCACACCTATCGTATCACTAATAGTATACCTATGCATTTGCATATAATGTATTTAAGTATACAAATACATACGGTATAGCTGACTCCGCGTAAAATGTTGTTTTTATTGTCTATAAATATTTTTATTTTTTTTTGGCGGTGCCCACCATTCACCAAGAAGTGAATTTAGGACATAATTGTCCGAATCCATAATATGATTCGATATAGATTTTGTGGTTTCCGAGATTACTGAGTACCTATACAAACAATTAACAAACGCGCAATCATTTTCATAACTAGAGCTGTATAACTTAAATAACTTGTCACGGTAAAAAAACAATAGGTATAAAATAGAGATACCTTGGAGCTTTATGAACCAATGCGGATCGGATATTATATATAGCACTTGGTATAATAATTTCATACCAATACCGGCAATACCTACTTCATAAGCTTTCTTGATGTCTTAGAACAATCCATGAAATTTTCGTCAAAATAGGTAAAGTATTTTTGTATTTAATTACAAACATGCATTCATTCAAGGGACTAAGGGAGCCATTTCAATGAAAGAGTGGAAGTGCTAAGCCCCTTTATTTTATTTCATAATATCTAATGGTTGTGGATACATGCATTATGACTATTAAAATGTAAATAAACATGGACAAATTTAGGGACGCTAAGTACCTCCCAAATTGCACATATGCATTCTTTTTTATCACATAGATTATGACTCTTTTATTTCTGTAACCAATGGGAGCCATAATATATACCGGCAGACAGGTAGGTATAACCCAGGGTTTATAGAAATCTATTTTTTAACCTTGGGTATAACCTATATTATATTGGTGAATAAACGATACGGGAATGGGTGCTAGTATTTTGATAAACAGTTCCCGCCTGTTCAAGTTTACGAGGGGGGGGAGGTAGTACGTAAACAAAAAAATATTCCATTTCCATGATCCAAAACGAAATTCCTGTGTGAGCCACCTTAAAAGAGGTATAATAGATACTCGAGTCTCGAGGAATATGTGTCCGAAAAATGGTGAAAATTTGATGAGTGGTTTCAGATATTATTAGATTAGTGAATAGGTATTAATAAATGCATAGGTAATCATTTTATATAACTACAAAATTAAATAATAATAATCAAAAATATAATATAGATATAAAAATCGCGGTAGGCCACATTTTATTGGTTGGTTGAGGATTTAAGTTTCCTAACTATAAATACTAACATACAAATAAATATGATTTAAATATCAAACCTGTTCCTTCAATGATTTGTAAAATGAGTTACAACAAAACATGTTCAAATACTTTAGAAAAGTATTTAAGTAGACTTATTGACCAATAAGATTAAAAGGAAACCAGGGGTCTGCTAGATTTGGATATAATTTTTATTATAGAAAATAACTAAGACTGAGTGGGCTCTTGAGTTCATCATTGAGAATTGGCTTTAAGATATCATAGCCATAAATTTACAATTTTAAAGTTGATTTTTTGATTAATTTAAAAACTTTAGTAAACAATGAAATTGTACTATAAAAAATCAAGAATTCCAAAATATATACTGGGAAGATGGCGTTTAAGACTTTACAGGTATAATTAAGAGCAAAGGTATAAGTTTGTCAACATTTAATCAGGACATAAATTTCCCTTGAAATAAACTCAAACACAACAAAAATAACCTTGTTATTTCTAATTAATTAATTTGTTATGTTAATTTTACTAGCTGATCTCTAGCCAACTTTACATTATAAGTCATGAGACTCGCTTGTGATAGTGCAAGCAGCATATTATCAGGTAGGCAATCCACCTGTGGTTTGAGACCCCAAGACCAATAGGTGAGTACATCCTGTGTACTTTGCTGCCCATTAAAATGCCAACTCTATAGGAATAATATGTTTTATTTTTACTGTGGACATACCAATGGTAGTCTATAAGTGCAACTCAGCCAACTTGGTAATCAATATCCAAAAATTAAATTTGATGCACGCTTCAATTAACCAATAGCAACCAATAAAAAAAAAAAAAAAATACTAATTTCTACTAATTTTTCTCATATAACCAATAGCAACCATTTATAACAAAAAATTTCCTTCGTGCATTTTAAAGTCACTGTTTAAGCAAGTGTTCTGTGTTCTAATTAAGAAAAAAATGTAATGTATTTTAGTCTTTAAGTAGTTAGTGATAAACCACAATGGTTCTTATAATTTTTAGGTTAATTACAAAAATTAAATCAATATTTCTGAGCATTTCGTCTAGCTGGCATTTCTTGTCTCCATCTTACAAGTGTATAAGCCATAACATAGCAAATGTTATTTTAAATATTAGAGTAAATTGACCTTACGGTTACAGCATTGTCTCCTGTTTGTTGCTTTGTTGGAAGTTTTTTAGATTTTTATTAATATTTTACACACTTATCACTTGCATCAAGATTAAAATATCCAAACAAGGAAAAGCAATGTTCCTACTCTTAGGGTTGATAATATTTTCTAATATTAAAATTAATTTAGGTAAATGTTGAAAGTAAATTTGCTGTGCAACACAGTTGTAAGATAAGGCAACAAATGAAAGCAGGCAACCTATTATAAGCTAAAATATTGATGTTTAAAATACTTATTTTTTAATCTATACAAATTGTATTATGTTAGTTAAGTGCTTGAATTATATCTAATACTAACTAAATCTGTACTGATAATAAACACTTGTGGTAAAGAATCGGGCAATAAATACACTAGGTAAAATAATTTAAAAACTGTATTTTAATATTTCCAAACTTAAGGACAGTTATAAATAATTATTCTTTTAGATTTTTTATTTTAACTTAGTCTAACAATTATATTTGTATGTTTCTTATATAATATAAAGTCAATGGACATTAATTATATTTTTTGGTAGTAACCAATTTTCCTTCAGTGTAGTAGGACAATAAAATTCTTCAACTAGTAGCCGAATGTGGTTGTAATACGTGGTGATAGGAGTATAGGACCAGACACTTGCTGCAGACTATTGTAGAAATGAGCCTCCAAGAATTACTCTTATTGTAAATAGAGAATTTTTACTTAATTATTCCAATTTTTTTATAAAACCATATTATAAATTATTATATTTAATATTCCTGTTTGAAAAACTAATCTTTGACAGCATGCACAGTAATAGGATGATATTCATTGAATATTTTTCCTGTGATTGGACATATTTCAACTATTTGTCTCTCACATATTTTATCTTTAACATGTATGGAGTATCTCTCATGTAAATGTTGTGGCAAAATACTGTACATTACATCTACAGCTTTAATGGCATCTAATAAACACAAATGATAAATAAGATTAATAATCAAGAAACAATAGAAAAAAAATTACTTTTGCATTGCTACAAAAATGTCTGAAAACTTTTAATACCTGAGTTGTTCAATAGTTTAATAATATGCTAACAAATGTGGGCCCTCTTTCTATATTGTCAGTTTTAAGCTATTAATAGAGAATGAAATAGAACAAAGGTCGTAGTTATATCATAACTACAAAAAAACTTAGTTATTTAAGACTGTTAAGAGCAGTGGTTCTTAACCAATGTTGCATGGACTTAATAAGTTCAGCCAATATTTTTAAGTTTGCGGAAAAATTATAAAATTATGAAAATTTTTAATATTAGATTTATAAATTTTGTGATTTTTTTGTGACTAATATGTCTCGGAAAACTTGAAGGGCCTGGTCATGCCTAGCCCACACGTTGGACACCACTGGAAAAGAATATTGGTTATAATTTGCTAATTATAAAATAAGTAATGATCAAGTAGAGAGTAAAATAAAGGTCATTATTTAATTTTAAAAGAAAACTTATTTAATAAATATCAATAAGTGTTTACTTTAGATTCTGTGACCAGAACCTAAAAAAAAATTCCACTAAATAATAGTCAATAGGTGGAAATGTATATTTTAAACTCATATGATGTATATAAACCTAACATAACATTAAATTAAGGAGAAAAAAATCTCAAAAATGAGTTTGTGCATGTAGAATTAGCTATAAAAATGAAACTTAACAGATAGACAGATATGCACTATTAACAAATATTATGTAGCGTTAAGTTATATATGTTGTCATAAAAAAACTATGGGTAACTTGATAAGTAATAATACTAGTACCAAAATAATTTTGAAAATTTCATTTATCAATCACTGTTTCTATATTATTCATCAGCAAAATAAAATATATAAAGTAAAAATTGCATAAAGAAAAATCTGTATTTATTCATCCAAGTTTGAACTCAAAAACATTAGATACAGATAAAGTTTTCTTGATAAATAAAAAAAAAAGATATCATATATTTTTCTGTTCATATTTATAAGTTGTAATTTATAATTAAAGATTTATTACTGAATAATTTAACATAGTTACATAAGTCATTAAAGTGTTTTTCAGTGCATGGCACACGTGTCGTATGCTATCTACCAACAAATCGTAGGTGTCGTGTGCTATCTGCATTCTACAAGTACCTACGTTATCTACCGTAATCTGTATTGACGGTATCGATATTATATTTCTATATATTATACATGTATATAGAAAAAATATTTTTAATAACAAAACTTGTATACAATTTTTAAAAGATCGTGAGCTATTACATAATACAAAACTGTGTACAAAGTTAAATTCTATTGGAGAACAATGCAATGGTGAAATAAAAGAAACTCTAAAAAAAGGCCGAAAAAGTGATGTAAACGGAGATATGACTAGAATGTATACTAGAATATATACCTAGAATGGTGGAGATCCATCAATCAAAAAAATGTTTTAGAATGTTTTTTACAAAATATAAAAAAAACATTTTTGTAAAAAATAAAAAAAATATGAACAACCTATAACAAACAGGCTATTCAAAATAGGACAACTGTGAACCAACAGGCATTGAGCAGGTTAGTTTGTAGATTTTTATACATGATTTTTTTGGTAGCTATAGTACGACACATATGTCCAGTGCATTAAACTAGATTTTATATTTGATTTAGTGCCCCAATAATTAGGTATTAAGAGTTTTACAGTTTTAATCTTCTACAATTGAAAATAACTAAAAATACAGATGATCATAATTACCCAAAAGTGACGAGAAGTCTGGAAATGTATATTTTTTGACACTTGATTCTAAATTAATAATTCGAAATCCAGTTTTAGTAAACATGTCTCTTATTCCATCTGGTGTATACACATTTTGTGACATCTGCTTTATATCCTGTATATAATGTGTAGTAAGTTTATTAAAACAAATATAATTTAGTAAAATTATGAAATTGAATTTTTAAAGGTATCATTTGAATTATTATACATTTGAAAAGTCTAATTGAAATAAAAAACTTAAGTGAGAAAACATAAATACTCACTTTAATATATTTTTGCCATTCTGTATCCATACATTTATACAATTCAACTATTGGATTAATTAACATGAAGTTAACCAAAATTTCTCCACCACTTTTCAACATTGAATGCATATTAAGCAAGGAATCAACTTTATTATGAACCCAGTGAAAGCAGAAAAATGAAAATATTTTGTTAAATCTGTGTGAATAAGAAGAGCAGTCATCGGCATTTTCAATATCCAGAACTTTGAAATCCATCTTGGAACATCCAAAGTTTTTTTTAGCAAATTCTACCATCTCTATTGATTTATCAACACCAACCTAAAAAAATTTATATTAATACAAATACTAACTATTTGAAAAAATATGTTTAGCAAATCAAACTAACCAATTGTTTGATTTTATTTTTTAAAAAAGGATAAAGAATATCTGAGGTTACATCGCCTGGTCCGCATCCTATGTCTAAAACTATTTCATTTGATTTCCATACCATTTTTTCTATATATATATTTGAGATATCTTTGGCATCCCTCCGTTGCATACCATTATCTTTGATATACTGCTCTGGGCAATGCATTTCAACAAACTGAATATTCTCTCACAAAACATTTTCTTTTATACTTGGTGGAGTGATAATCACATTAGGGTTCAAGATATAATACCTGACATACCTTCTTAACTATGTAATTTCCATAACAAACACATTATTGTAAAGCAATATGAGTAGATTTATGGATAAGGTATCTTCCACCTATATATATTTCTATTATCTGATTTAAATTTTTTTCAGAAAACCTTTTCATAAATTATGTGTTAGTTAATCTGATCCATCAGATTCTTTAGTATGTAAATTAGCTAGTATTATTTGTAAACCAACGTACCTATATGAGTATAATGATATGTAATTTCCTCAGCCCTCAACACATTTTTATTGTATTGTTATGCTATAAAAATGTATATATTAACATAATTGTAAATAAAAATAAACCCTCCTTGGCTCCTTAGAATATATAAAAAAATATAATATAATATAATATACAAACTACTTATTATCTAATATCTATAAATATTATTTACTTAATTTATTGTCTCATATTTCAATAATAAGTTGAAAAATAAACTACTTAAAATATATATGTACTTCCAGATTATCTCAACTACCTCTATAGAAAACGTGTCTTACCATTAACCATTTATTTTGACAACTGACAGTCGTTTGTTAGGTGCCTATTGTCTAATTGTTGTCAGCTATTCTATTTAGTATACGTAATTGTATTACAGTACTAACACCTAGCTAACAAATATTTTTTATAATTTGCCATTGTCAGAGAAGGAGCTATCCAACATCTCCAAAACACGGAGTGTTGTAAAGTTTACAAATCTGTTCAAACTACCTCTTGCCAAATTATATTTTTGAAATTTAGTAGGTATAAAAAATGCCAAAAAAGGTAAATATACTTAATGGTAATTGATTAGCTAAATCACAGATATCTTTTACAACTGCCACACAATTTATATATGAGTGGGTACATGAAATAACAAATATTAACTGGTATAAATATCGACTAAACTTAAAAGAAAATACAGTTAAAGTCTAGAGCAATTACTTATGTTAAAAATAAGTCGACTAACTATCAACAATTAACCACAATGAATAATAGGTAAACCAGGGGTTAAGTGTAGAGATTGATAAAAGTTTATTTTTGAAAATAAAAATCACATTGGGAGGGTACTTCTGATACAAAAGAGGCATTTTTAATGAATGCCTCAAGTAGAAAAACAGTAGCTCTTCTAGGGGCAATCAATAATACAATTTAGGATGGTCCACAATTTAAACACTGAATTATTAAGAGAATCTGGATTTGATCACTTTATAGGTAATTAATCATACTTACAATTTTGGGGACCCAACCTTGAACCTTATTTTTTTTTTATGAATTTGGATATGTATGGATTTTTCAAGGCGAATTTGAGTCTAATAAACGACTGAGCTTAATAAGTAATAACTAATAATCAGAGTCTACTGTATATACAATCATTATGCATATCATTTTTTAGGACCTCCGGGTCGTTTAAATAATAAAACACTTAATAAAAAAAAAACTGATTATAATTATTAGTGATTTTAATAATAATTAATTTAACATCTAATCAGAGAGAAACTACTTTTATTTAAAGCAAACCACTTAACAGTCCGGTTGCCTACAAGACATAGTGTAAACATTTAAACAAAATTGTTACAAGATTCAAAATACGAAGAACATACACAGTATAAACAATAAAAGTGGATTGCATAATATACAATATAAATTTATCTTAAATTAATGGATTTCCTACATAAAGTTGATAAATGTACTACTTATTATTTATTGAATCACATCATTGATAGTGACGAAAACTATTAAATGTATTCATTATTTATCCATTGCTAACTTGGTTTATAATCATTAGTTATATTAATAATATTTAATTCTTTAATAATATCAGTTTTTTTACATTAAGTTGATGAATGTACTACTTATTATTCATTAAGTCACCTCATCGATAGTGACGAATATTATTAAATGTATTCATTACTTACTTAGATTATTATTATTACTTATTTTAATAATATTGGCTGTCATACAGTATGCGGCCTGCCTGCGGCTGGCTAGTCATGGACAACGGACTTAAGATTAACTTCAATAGTTACGGTTTAGGTCAACACTTTAGCTTTATGGCATTATGATTTATGACTTTCGTAAGCAATGCTTTGACATTTTGTAAAAGTACACTCAGACACTCAGTGCACCACTTATTGTGTGACACAATTCATATTTTATACTCAGGCATCAATACACGCAACATGTTTGCAAATAATGAAAAAGCTGAATGTTTAAAATGTGGAAGTGATATACATTTTTAAGTACCTAAGGAGAAGGATAAGGAAAGGAGAGTTTTATGTTGTAAAAAAAGGATGAAAAGGATGTCAAACAACACATAGCTAAAGATGGGCAAATTAAACTATTATATTTTTTTCAGGTTAGTATTTCATAATTGTATATAATTGTAAGGAGGATAATGATTTTTGGACTTATATCTACAAAAATGGTCATCTAAGTATTGGACTAAGCCTCAGTCAACAGTTAGAATTAGTATACTACTGGACTCAAGTTTATACCTATAATACCTAATACCTGTTTTTATAACATTAAGTTGAATACTGAAACATTTAAAATATATAAAATCACTTCATTGGTAGTGACGAATATTAATTCATATATTCATTACATGTTCATTGATAACTAAGATTTTAATCATTAGTGATTTTAATAATATCTGATTGATTATATTTAATCCTTTAATAATATCAGTTTTTCTATATCAAGTTGAAGAATATTGAATGTACTACCTATTATTTATGAAATCACCTCATCGGTAGTGACGAATACTATTAATTTATTCATTACTTATTCATTGCTAACTTGGATTATAATCATCAGTGATTTTAATAATATTTTATTGACCATATTCAATCCTTTAATAATATAAGTTTATCTCCATTAAGTCGATAAATGTACTTCTTATTATTTATTGAATCACCTCATCGGTAGTGACGAATACTATAAATTTATTCATTACTTATTCATTGCTAACTTAGAATATAATCATTGGTGATTTTAATAATATTCTAATTATGTTGACTTTAGTGACTTTGAAGTTTTAGCAATAGATGTTTATTAAGAAAAAGTTGAAGAATGAATTATTTTAAATTAATAAAATCACCTCATAGTGTCAAATATTTTTTTATACTGGTATTTATTTATTGATAACTAAGATTATAATTTTATTATAGTTTATGAGTGAATTTAATAATATTTTAGAAATAGATTTTTAATAATATTTGTTTTTCAACAATTAATTAATAAATAAAACAACTAAAATAAAATAGGGACAATTAAGAACAATTCTAATTAAAACAAACTTCTGCGATTTTTCTTTAAATTAAATATTAACAAAGTTATTGGCTAAGTTACATTTTTAGTTAATAGGTGCAACACAAAATATGATTGGTAGCCATAATATTACTATATTATACATTTTTTGTATTAGGTACCTACATACACCAACATGCTCAAATGGCTTTAATTAAGCATTTAATGTTTTTATTTGGTAGTTTATAAGTGTATAACACATAGACATCCATCCTGTAGCTACGTGAATTCCAACTAACTATCAAAGTATGAGTAAAACCAAAGACCCTTTTGTAATTAAAACAAAAATGTGCACTAAAAATCCCAAATTTGTTAATTTAATATTCATTAAATATGTACTTCAAATTTTGGTAATTTCATCAATGTTGTAAATTGTATTTAATACTTACAGATTTAACATACAATAGATCAACCATGACTAAGTATATAGGTATGTCAGCAATATTGTGATACACATATCCCCTCTTTTTACTCTGTGTTACGTTCTCCGTCACATATAAGTCACATACAGTAGAAATTGTTTATAATAACACCGGTTGTAATAACATATGGTTACTACTAAGTTTTATGACCAAAAGTAAAGGACCCAAAAAAATTCATAGATAAGTTATATATTATGTTAAACTGTATCGGTAGTTATGACTATCGGTTATTATGACCTATTTTCCTTGGTCTTTTGAATGTAATTTTAAAATTTTTTTACTGTATATTAAAACATGAACTTCAGAGAACCTAACACACAGGAAAAATGGGGATGCTGACATACCCTCCATATTTTGTCATGAAATCAATCATAAAAATATGCAAATACATGAATAAGTCCTTGTTAAATTACTACTAATTATTAACATTAATCACACTTCATGGAGAAGTTTTGAAATAATAAATGATGAAGTTCTTGCTTATCTACTGATTAAATTAGCTACACCAATTTGTATGACTGTATGTCACCTTTACGTCATTATAATACCTAAGCATTATATGAATGAATAACAAAATTAATGTCAAAAATCAGGAAAATAATTAAATTTTAGGTGCATTGATCTATCAGTCCTCAAACACACTAGCGAAAGATATACATATTATGATTAGCTTCCCCAGGTCTGAACATGATCATAATTCATTAATAATAATTAACAGGGTTTTCGTTACTAATCAATACCTATATCTGATTAAACCTATAACATGGATATTATGGTTCGCTTACAAAAAATAAGAAGTAATATTAATGTTTGGTGATTCACCTACAAAGGTACTTTATAGGTTAGTTACAAAGGCGGCACCTTCTTATTTCACAAAAATATTTTAAGTGACATCATTTACATTGATTGTATACTGTATACTAATATTGGTAACTTATACCTAAAAATAATTGGTGAAAATAAAATATACGTACCAAACAGTAAGTACCAAAACCACATGGTAATATAGTTAGTTGGTAGCATTTCAATACCACTAAACATCAAAATTCAGTATGCTGTCATAAATAATAATTCTTAGACTCCAATATATATCGTTACGAATTAAAATACTGTATTATTTTTTTGATGTTCCTTATTACACTATTTAATACTTGTATATTATTCACTGTTAACACTTGAATATTTAACTGTAGCCTACAAAATATAAATTCTGAGAATGGACCTGCAACCACCATGGCCAGGCACTCAGACACGAGACAGTTGGTAAATCGTTCAGTATTACATCCACTTTCCTTATAGCACACATCTTAAGACTCGAATAGTCGAATCACAATCCACGTGTTTGATGCTTATAAATTACAACTGCCTCATCATGAACTGCCTCACGCTCGGGCTCGGCCGCTCGGGCATTGCCATTTGCCGCATTGGACGGGCCGCGGGCGTCACAGGCAACAGGATAGATGATAAGAACATATTTTAATCATAGCCGTGGATAAATAATCACATACCTTATACCATTATTATCAATGATGATAACGAGCAGTTTAT